AAAATTAAAAAGTATAATTTTGTACACAAAATATAGTCAAAAGCAAAAGGAGAAGAAATGAGAAAGTATTTTAATTTGAAAAAAATATTTACCAAAAATTATTACAAAGCAATTTTACGTTGAGTTTATTTATATTTTTATCTTTTTATGAATAGAATATTATTAATTAAACAAAATTCATATTGAATACTTTATACTTTTGTGAGATTAAATTTGAAGCAAAAAACAAAGCACTTTGTATTTGTCAAAAAAGCGTACTGATTAGATTAACTTCAACGACTAGTTTATTAATTTATATTTTAGTAATTTTATCACAAAATAATATTAGTAAGTAGCTTCAACAGTAAAAATATTTTCTTGATTTGTCAAATTAATAGCTTAGAAAATAAATTCATATTTAGTTAAATACACAAAATGAATTAATTATTCAATTATAAAATTTTATTGATGCAAAAAAAAAGTGATAAATATATTTTAAAATAAAAATTTTCTATATAATTTTATAAATTTAACGCATTTTGCGTGATTATTTTCACGATTACGTGGAATTATAAGTTTGCCTAAGCATAAAAACAGAAATATGTAAAGACTACCAATAGATTATGCGTGATTACAGAATCTTTAATAATCTACAAACGAATGAACAATCCAAATATGAAGATACTGAAGTTAGATTGTGAGATACATTTATAAAATAGTTCTTTTTCTATTCAAAAACTCAAATTATTTTCAATTGAAATTCTTTTTCTCTATTTTATGCCTACAAATACTTTTTACGATTTGATATTTTTATTATACAAATAAACGTTTTTTTTTTTTTTTTGATTGAAGTAAATGTGAACATTGATAGATAGAAAAATCTATCTATTCTGTATGACAAGTAAACAATAATTCCAACAAAAACAATTTTGTGTTGATTTTTTAGTACAGTCATGAATTTATTTCTAATCCAAATTTTCAGCGGTATTCGTGGAATGCCGAGAAAATATGCAAAAATAATTGCATATCCTTCAACTCGTTATGATTATTATGGATGAATATTTTGTAGGAAAAACTGAAAATTTTTAATCATTACACTTTTTTTCCAAAAATTTGATTTTTTATTTTTAAAAAAATTTAATTTTTAAAATAAATTAACAGTAGTGTTTTACAGTAAAATTTAGCATTACAAAGTTGCACATTTTTTATTTTCTGTAAAAATATTTTTAATTACTATTTTTGGTACTATCAAATTTTCATACACTGTTAAACTTTTATACTTTTTATAATAAATTATTTCCAAACAAGCCCATTAATTGGTATAATCTGATATTTGCATATATACTTGAATTACTCTCAATTAAGTCTGAATATAAAATCACCAGAATTCAAGTTGATTTAATCAATAACATATTGTATCATTTTTGGAAACTAGTGCAAATTAGTTATCAGTCGATCAAACTGATCATCAAAATATTACAATATTCAGAATACCTACCAATACTTTACAGTTAAATGAAAAAATCTACAGAAGTATGCAAAAAATTAAAAATAATTCTCATCTCAGAGTAGAAAAGGATTGTAACAAACTTTTCAGTACTAAAAAATTGTTCAGAATTGCTTATAATTACTTAAATAAATTTAATATTTTAATAATTTCTGAGGACTGTGTAGTATTCTCATAAATAATCGTTTACTGAACAATTTTTCCTAAGCCTTTAATTGCTAGATACTAAATTATTTGCATCCAAACTCAATCAGTGTTAATTTTAACGTTTATGAATGAAGTTATCTTCACGTATTTAAATATTTTTCAGAGTTTGTAAAAAGATTTTCGACAATAATATTTATTTAAAGTTATCGAAAATAAAATTCATTTCAGTGTTATTAATTTGTTCTTATTTTTTGAGCATTCACGTCAATATTTTTCAATTGCATTGCAAATGCATCGGTTATTTGACAATTTGCTGTAATATTAATAATTTACATAATTAATGACAATTCGATTATTATTTTTGACAATAATTTTGACTTAAAAATTGTTTTCCTCTTTAATACTTAAAAAAAATATTTTTTCGTCAGCAAAAACGCACAATATTTTTAGATCAAAGTTTAATCGAAATTCAAATGTATTGCTTAATTTGGATTGTATTCGTTTTTAAGGTCATTTATTTATAATCTGATCTTTTTGACAGTAACCAATTTTTATTTTTTTTGTGTCATCTACAATAGTAGCATTTTTTTGTGCATATATGTCAACCCAAATTTAATTTGATTTCACTTGATATTGAATATGATCCACACATGAATAATCCTGCAGAAGCAATGAATGTCAGATCATTGTAATTCTGCGCAAAAAAAATTTGAATTTTTAAGAGCTTTTCATATGATTTTATTGTAGAGATTAGTTCTTCACGATAATTCGATCTAATTTATATCACTTATTGATAATTGATTTAAATCACTTATTGATTACTACGCCCTGGCTTTTTTCGCTCTTGCAGTTTTGACAATTTTTAGTGTGCGACGTTGTGGGCAAGGACAATAACCAGCATCTTCTCCTGGACCTCCTGATAGACCAAATCCTCCTGCAGATCCGGCATAACCTTGTTGACCTAAAAATTTGTCCACTTTTTATAATCGATAACTGATTGATTTAATTGATTTGTTTCAAAGAATTTATCTGATAGATTGTGATTCAAGGGAATCAATTTTAGTTCTTAATTTTCATCTAAAATTTTTTTTAATAATTCAAATAAAAGAAAGCAATGAAGTGTTGACCTGATTGTCCTATTTCTCCTGGTGGACCGATTGGCCCTTGTTGACCTGGTTTGCCAGGATTTCCAGGTGGTCCCGTGAAACCTTTAGGTCCGATTGCACCACGAGGTCCAGGTTCACCAGGAGCACCTGGAAGTCCTCGAATTCCTTCTCGGCCTGGTAATCCCATTGGTCCTTCTTTGCCAACCATTCCTGGTTCTCCATTTTCACCTACTGGTCCATTTGGACCAGGTTGACCTGGATATCCTGGAAGACCGTCGTTTCCTGGTTGACCCTACAAATAACACTTACTTGCTGATACACTATTTAGAGTTGCGAAAAAATGTAGATAAAATTTTAACGTTATTGAATTTTTGGTTGCAAAAATAAAACATCAATTGATGGAGGAAAAATGCTGAGACGTACCTGTGGTCCAGGTGGTCCAATAGGTCCAGGGTATCCTGGATGTCCAACTGGCCCTGGTGGACATACTCGACAGCTTTCTGTGTCTTTTATAGCTTCCACAGGTGGAATAGTTCCTTGAATGCCAGGTTCTCCTGGTGGACCAGGTCGTCCCGGTATGCCATCTATTCCATCAATTCCAGGCCTACCCGGAGGACCCGGAGGGCATCGACTTACTGAATCACATTCTGAAATGATTCCAAACTCGCGAACATATTCTACAACAATTGATGTATTCAAAAGAGAAGCATTAAAAAAATGATATATTCTATTTGAATAATTTTGTGGCAAAAATCAAGTAATTCTGACGGCATTTGGCTTCAGTTGCATCACGTGCAAAACGTTTAGATGACATTGGTTGCATAGTTCGTACTTCTTGCAATTCAGTCCAAATTTCATCCTGCATATCTTTTAAATTTGTAAGTAAATATTGAGCATTATTTCACTTCATAACTCATCAATATCACTGCCTATTTTTCGAGTCATAAATATTTTGCCATGTTTTATATAAATGAATTTTTATTATCTGAGAATAAATAATAAACAGACCCGCGAAATTTTAAAATAGAATTAATGGAATGGCAAATTTTTAAATTTCTAAGAATCATAAAAAATTTAAAAAACAAATAGTTTGAAGGAGTCTAACCTGAATTACTTTGAATTCATCCATATGTACGGCTAATTTGTATTTTACCATTGTAACGGAATTTAAAAATTCATTAAATTGTGTGGCAATAAATGCAATTGTAAACACTGAAAGACCAATAGCCGAAAATCCAGCTGTTTTTGTGTAAATCATTTCGATGATATAATCGGCTGAAAATTTTAATTACATAAAAAGTTTAAAAAAGTTGATGTTTT